TTCTTTCAACATAACCTTGGCTTAACTTGTAAATTTTTCTCAAAAATTTCAACAAGGGCTAAACCAATCTTCTTTCAAAATGACCTCGGCTTAACTTCAACCTGTAATTTTTTCTCAAAATTTCAACAAGTGTTAAACCAATCTTCTTTCAAAATGACCTCAGTTTAACTTCAACTTGTAAATTTTTATCAAAATTTCAACAAGTGTTAAACCAGTCTCAGTTTGTAGATTTCAACTCCTAAGCATTATTTTCCAGCCCTCTGCCCCCCTAATGTGAACTTAAGTTCCACTTGGATTCTCATTAAGTATATGGCTTTGATCTTGTGGCCGAGGTCAGATTCAAACAAAGACTGGCTGAGGTTACCAACCTTGGTTTCTTTGTTAATCTGACTGACATGTACTTAGTTCCAATATGTGCTTGATTCTTGCCGATATGGCAAGTCCGGGTTAACTCAACTTAGTTCAACTCTATTATATGCAAGTAAAAACTCTGCCATATAATAAGTCTAAATTATTCGTCATGTTTCAATCAGAAACATCGCCAACTTGGTTCAACTCTATTATATGCAAGTAGAAACTCTGCCATATAATAAGTCCAAGTTATTCGTCATGTTTCATTCGGAAACATCGTCATAAGACTAGTCGGTCCTATCGCACAGATTTCAAATTCACAAAAATCAAACTAGCAGTTTATTGCTTCAGCCGATATGCTCCATTGCCGGTAACCTTTCTCAGGATAAGGTCCCTATCCTTGAACTCTCTTGGGCTGACCTTCTTGTTTATAAGTCCTAGCAAGTTGTTGCTGGTATGCCCCCAGCTGAATTGTTGTTCTATCGCATGTCGCAGGTGGATTTCAACAACATTTTTACGTTTTTTTACATAGGTTTTCAGCTTCCTTTTGCATGTAAGGCCAAAAGAATCCCTGCGATATTGCTCTATGGGCAAGGGATCTACCCCCTGCATGGCTTCCACATACTCTTTTGTGGACCTTATGTAAAAATTCTTTAACATAGGCCGAGCTCTTCTCTTCTCAGACTTAATCATCTAGGCCGAGATTTTGTCTTCTAGAATCTGGGATCTGCTCACTTAGGTTGAGCCATTGTCTTCTCGGACCTAATCATCTAGGCCGAGATCATTTCTTCTAGGAGCTGGGATTCGGGATCTAGAATTCGAGATCTGAGCTTTGGTTTGTTGTATCCAGTGTTATCACGGCTCCGCTTCGGCGAGCCGTTTCTCTTCTCTTGTTTGGATGCCTTTGTCCCCGGCATGTCTTCTTCGGCTTTGGCATATTTCTCAATTCTGGCCATGAGCTCCTCCATGCTTTTTGGTAATGTCTTTGCCAATGACTTTCGAAGTGGACAATCATTTTTCAGGCCATTCTTGAAAGACACGACCGCCACCTCTTGGTTGCACTCAGGTATTCGGTTGAACACCTCATAATACCTTTTGGCATGGGCCCTAAGGCCTTCATCCTCACTGATTCTCAGAGCCATCAGGGAATTTACCCTAAACAGTTGTAGTTTGTTCGTCACAAACCTAGCCACAAACGTCTCGGCCAGGCCCTTCCAGGTTTTCACAGTTCATTTCGGCAACTTGTGAAACCAATCCAATGCAATTTCCCCAAAGGACGAGGGGAACACTTTGCAGAGCAACGGCTCATTCCCGATGTATAATGCTATCGAGTTCAGGTACAAGTCGACGTGAAAGTTAGGGTCCGACTTACCGTCGTATATCTGGAATCTCAGCATGTGGAACCTCTTCGGGGCTTCAAATTTGTCCAATTCTATCGAGAACGACATTCTCGGCTTGACCAGAGAAGTTACCTTGGCTTCTTGCCGCTTCCTCTGGAGGTAATCCCTTAGATCCTCCTTGGTCTGTCCAGGAGTTCGGCTATCTCCAGATTTCAGCCTTTTTGGTGCACTACTTCCAGTGTCATTGTGGGTACTTTTGGACTTCCCTCCATTGGTCGCGTCGAAACAGAGTTCCTTCTCCTGAACATCGCGATGTTCTCTGGTGTAGTTTTCTTGGGTTCGACGTGTCTTCTGGGATTCTCTTCTCGTTGATTTTCCACGCCCGACCTCCCGTGAAGGCCGGTGAGAATGTCCTCTAGTCCTGTCGTGCTGAGGGACTGTAGGAACAGTTTTCTGTCCCCTTTTCTGGGTGTCTTTCTTGGTCACTATAATCGGCGTATCATATAACGAGAACGGTGGCTGTATGATGTTGTTCTGCATCATGAAATTGATGACCGTTTGCAAGTCCGCCAATTTGTCCGCCATTCCTTTCATCTCGCCGTCCCTCCGTAGGCATCTATCTTTCCATACCTGGAGGTCATCTTCGTTATAGTACCCGCCTCGGTCCGATTTCTGTGGTACGTCGCCCTCCTGGCCGACGTCCTTTTTTCCGTGATTCTTAGCACGAGTCTTTTCATTGTAGTTGTCTTCTTCGACGTCAAGGTCTACATGTTTTCTACTTTCAGTAAGAATGTCGTTCCCAACCTTCTCTTTCTGTCCGTTGTTGGCCATCTATTCTCCTTTCTTTCCCACAGACGGTGCCAAATTGTGTGTGTCAATTTCCGACCACACTGCCAATCAAGCATTCAGCTAGAGAACACGGGCAGAATAGATTAAGCCCAAACAACCTGTCACAGAAAGATAAGAATTCCGCGGTGGTTCGTCTACCCGGGGGCACTCCGACGATCAAGTCAATAAAATATCTCTCAAAGATAACCAAAAGTGCTTAACTCACTAGACAAAGCATGAAAAACATACTTTAGACCCATGGAGGTGCCTCCCTTTTATAGTCAAGACAATCCTAGTCCCAATAGAAGTCTAGCTCTAATGGACTTAGGATAAATGCTAATCTTGGACTCCCAGTAGGATTAGGATAAACTCTCTAAGAGTCCTATCTTTACCCAAACTGAAGTCTTCTCTCATTCTAGGACTTTTGTCCCTTATCCGCTTATCTCGGATTCCAATATCTTCGCAGATAACCTCAGCCTAGCCGAGATTACCTCGACGTCATAACCAGGACACGTGGCACTTCGGCTGGCACTTCGGTGACACCTCGGCCACGTGTCATCATTCAAAAATTATGTCCCCACAAATATATTTTTATTTCACCTAATTTCACATACATTCTCTTTTTCTTTTCAAATCCCTTCCTAAATCTCTCAATCAAATATAGCCTTAGGCAACTACTAATTACCCATGATTAAACAATTAAGCTAACTTAATTGGATATTCTTGTACACCTTTATAAACAGAGATTAAAGGATCAAACCTTGCAAATGACAAAGATTGGTTTTTTTTTTTTGTTGTCACAATGAGAGTTGTACTGAGTAGTTCATCTTATTTCCATTATAGCCTTAGAGTATCTCTATCAAAATAGTCAAATTTTTAGTTAAATTTTAATTGAAAGTGTATTTTTTTTTTAATTACCCATCTTTTCAAATACTTTCTTCAACAAACTCTCTATTCATTATTATTTCATTTGTTGAGTTCTCTTTCCTTAGTTATATGTAATTAGTAATTTGACATTCAACTAAACTAACTAGTCAATAATTGAGTTTGATAGAGTATATTTCTATAATTTTGTACTATAAAATAGCTAAGAGAAAGCTCTAATGAACTTGATAATAATATTCTTATAAGGTTTGTTGTTATATGATAATTGTTTAATTTAATATAATTATTTTTATATTTATAATTAATTTGTACTTAAAAAACAAACAAAAATGACAACCATGCTATTTGAATAGAACTGACGCGGTTTTATGTGTCCATGTGGTGTCCTCCATCGAACTTGTTCAAATAATGAATTATTAAATATTTTATTATAAAATATTTTGCATAAGAAAAATGCTTTGTTTGTGTAATTTTTTCTTCATAATCTTAATAACAGCAATGGTAGAGGGCCCAAATTTTGTGGCTCAAATGTGGCTCAAATGGCCAAAACGACGTCGTTTTGAGTACAAAACAACATCAAAATGGCCAAAACGACGTCGTTTTAGCCATTTGAGCCATATTTGAGCCACAGAATTAGGGCCCTCAAACATTTTTCTCTTAATAAATGAGGTGGTTAGATATATTGCAAGTTTTATATCAATTGCAGTATGTGTCAACTTTTGAAATTTTACTTGCTATCTTATTTGTGGGGATTGTGAGCAGATAAAATTGTGTTGATATAATACTGTTGTTTACACAAATCAAAAAATGATGTTGCAATGACAGGAGATCGACCCATAAGAGTTATTTGAGAAATTAATATTTTAGTTTAAAAGTCAAAAAATTATTTAAAAAAAAAAAGTAACAAATAAATTAAACCATATAACAAAAACAACCAAAAAAAAGAACACTAAAAAAAAAAGTTTGTCCCCAACCTACCCATGATCAAGCAGAATCTCCTTACACCATTTTCATTCAGGCCCAAAGTGCTAAACCATATAACTAAAATAAACAGTAATGGGCTAATAAATTGAGAAATTTAAGGCTCAGTCTTTCAAGTAAAATGTTTTTAAAATATAAATAAAATATTTTTAAGCAAAATGATTTTGCATCATTATTTCAAAAATAACTTATTTTTAAAAATTTCGTAAGTTATTTTTAACAAAATTGAGTCACTCATTATCGTTTCAACATATTTAGGGTTAGTTTGGGATGTTCTAAAAAAGTACACTTTTTAATTTATTGATTTATATGGGTTGGGTTTGGATTGGATTTGATGTGATGTGTTAGAGAGGTGATGTGATTTAAATAAGATGATATAACTTAAATAGAATAGTGACTTTTTTGACTTTTTTTTAAGTTATGCCAAACCAAGCCTTAGTCTTTTCAAATAAATGTTTTAATTCATTAAAAAGTCATAAATAAAATTTTATCTTTTTGTCAATAAAATATTTTTATTTTGAGTATGAAAAAATAAAAACGAAAATATTTTTTTATGTAAAATTAATTTTAAAAAAATTATTTTTTGGCGTAAAAGTCGAAACACATGAGGGAATTTTTTTGCCGAGTTGAAAGACAAGCATGGGTCCATTTGGGAGGACGGATCTGGCACTGAAATTCATGAAGCAAATGAAGCTCCATTTTCACACTCTCTCGCTCTCTTTCTCTCTCATCTAAAAACTGAAACCAGATTGGCATTGCCCACTACTCCTTGGTGAGTTTCCCTTAAATCAATCTTAATAATGTTTTTATGGGGTTTCTGTGTATGTGGCTTCTTCTTCTTCTTCAACAATCTGATCAAATTGTATGCGAAATTGTGGATGTGTGAATTGAAGTCTCACATTCTTCTCAACGAACAACCCACTAAGATTCCGAGGATGTTGTGTCACTTGGAAATTGTGGTTTCACCTTCTCTTCCATGCTGATCAAACGCGTATATATATATATATATATATATTGTGTTGCTCTTATATAATAACCTTGGTGGACAGGGTGTTTGATGAAATGCCTCAAAGAAGAATTCATCTTAATTGCAAATCAACTTTACATAGTGTTAGTATGATTTGACATCAAACCTTCCAGACTAGAGTCAGTCCATTAGATCATGTCAATTATTTGGGACACTAAACAAGCTTAGTTATAGATTAATTGAGAGAGAGAGAGAGAGAGAGAGAGAGAGATTCCATGGCTTCAAACTTGGTCTTTTGTTTTAATTAATGTTTTTAGAGTCTGCTTTTAGGTTTCCATATATTCTTGGATTTTTTGCATTTATGATTGTCATTATGTTGCTATGCCTCCATGGTTATTTGCATTATTTTGAAATGTATTTACTTCGCTGAATTGTTATGCTCATGGTTCATGGCATTGGTATAGTTATTTTGAATTGCTTTGTATAATCTCTTTCATGGTTAGTCAAATACATAATGGTATATCTGCAACTCAGTATGTTTAAATTAAAATGTGTACATTTGTTGGTTCTGGCTTTTGTTTCTTAGTTCTGTTGTTTAATTTGAATGCTCCTGTCACCTGAAATCGTTATGAGATTCCTTGTCAGTATTCTCTTAGGTTGTGTTTGGTTGAAGGATTTGATGAAGGAAATGAAAAGGGAAAGGGAAATAGAAAGAAAAGAAGAAAGAATTTATAGGATTCAAATTCCAAGCTATGTTTGGTTGATTTGGGAATTGGAGAAAGAAAAAAAGCCTAATGCTGTGTTTGGTTGAGAGATTTGAGAAGGGATTTGGAAAAGGAAAGGGAAACTAGGTGAAATGTAGATATATTTTAGTTATATTTCACTTATCATTTCCTTTTCCCTTTCCAAATCCCCCCAACCAAACACAACGTAAGTGAACTCAAGAGACAAAAAGTGGGATTGCATTTCCCTTTCATTTTCTTTTCCCTTATGTTTTCCATTATAACCAAACAAAAAGTGGGATTGCATTTCTTTTCCCTTTCCATTTCTCTCATCAAATCTTCTAACAAAACATAGCCTTATGATTGCTATGAACAATGGTGAAGGAATAATATAAATAAGAGGACTTTGGCTATGCACGATCATACTCTCTTAGTTCCTCTATTCGGATCTGAAATCATGAGCATTCATAATGCAAGATCGGTATTGATCAAATTGTTTATGTAGCCCTGTAGTGGAGTAGAGTCTGTTCTTCTTTCTTGATGAATGTATTTTTTCTTTACTCTATAATCTCTTTATATTTACGTTTTTTGGTTTCACCTAAATTTATTTCTATGTTTTGCATTATATTAATCTTGTCAAGAATGTTGGCTTCTGTTCCTTACAAAATTTGGTTTTTGGGGGCAGGGGTTGGTGGTTGCTCTTCGACATGGACGAGATTAGTCATGATAGGACTCTTTACCTTATGTTTGCTAGAAGAATGGAAAATAGGAAGGAAGACTAAGGCCTCGTTTGGGAACATGTTATTTTAGTAATTTTTTGACTTTTTGGCTAAAATATGAGGTAAAAAAAATTAGTATGTTTGGGATGACTTTTTAATTTCTTACGAAAAGATCTGCAAAAAGTAGAGAGCAAAGGGAATCTTTGACTTTATGATATAGTTTGTTGGCTTTTTGTTTTTTTAGTGACTTTTTTGGCTTTTAGACTAAAAAGTAATGTTGCCAAACAAGGCCTAAGACGGATGGAAGAGTCATCCACGTGGATTGGATTGTGGGTGGCCTTCTTGTTTGGTTGAAGGAAATGGGTACTATATTATTTGTTGCGTATATCCTTAAGGACGAGTAACCAACTTTTGAGGTGCAAAGAACAAGTTTGCTTTTGCTAAAAATGGGAGGAGTTCTTGACCTCCTCTCTTCCACCCAATCTTGGGCAAATGAATTTTGGAGTGCTTGGAGGGGTTTCTCATCTCTCGTTCTTTCCCTTTCTCTTATAGCCGAAAAAAAAAACCCCCAAAAAAAAAAAAAAAGAAAAAAAAAAAACAAACAACAAAAAATGCATCCTTTCTTTTGCCTCCATTTTTTATTTCCTTTTTCCCATTTTTTCCACATACCAAACAGCTCTTGTGCATGCATTGTGTATTTGGGTAAAAAAGACTTTGAAGTCTTCTTCACCCAATGTGCATGGTCTATTTATGCTTGATTAATGTCATCATAGGTCCCATAACCTGTGGTTATGCTTGAGGTTTAGCTGAGAAAAATGGTTACAGATGGCTGGGACAGGCCATTTAAGGGTTTTGGGGTTGGATTTAAGGTTTATGAGGGCTATATGTTTGGTTGGACAAGTGGTTAAAGGGAATCAGCTGGTAGCACCGTAGCAACAGGGGAAAAAAAAATTACTTCAGGAAGAAATTATGGAAAGAGGAAAAAAAGAGAGGAGGCCTAGGAAATCAGACCTAGGTTCTTAGGAAAGCACACTTGTAAATCCACAAAAAATAGGCAGCAAAAATATTTCTTCATCGATTGATCAAAAGAAGCTAAATATGTATATACAGGAGAGTGAATTTGGAGGCCAATCAAACTTGGTGGCCAAGAAAAAATTCAGACTTGGGTTGTATTGATTCTCTAATGTCTGAACCGTAGCAAATTTTACCCAAACTAAATAAATCAGCTCACAAAGAAAAAAGTCACCTTGGCAGCCCATAAAAAAGTGTAGAACTGGTCATGACATAAAATGATAAAAATTCAAGAAAAACACAAAAACAAGAATATAATCTAATTTAAAATTCTTAGTTTTCCTTTGCAAGACCTAAGCTAGAGTCTTGTCAATGTTTGCTCTTGACTCTGTTTTCACCAATCTTTTGTAGTATTTTCCAATGTTTGCTCTTGACTCTGGTTTCCCCATTCCTTTGTAGTATTTGCTGTACTTTCCTTGCATGATGTTTGCACTATTGGAGTATAGTTGGTCTTTTGTTAGCCTCAGTTAATATGGTTCTTCCAGTGACCTTCTAGTAGTTTGTTTTACTTGTTTCCATTATCAATCTATCATTTTCTTAATTTACCTCTATCCTATTTTTTTCATGTTGCATCGTGGATAAACACTTTCAAACGTAACTTATTTTCTTTATTGCAGGTGTTCGGATGCCAAACATGGGTGAATGGTTGAAACATAGAATTTTGATGGTGTCTGATTTTTTTTATCCCAATTTTGGTGGCGTGGAGAGTCACATTTATTATCTATCACAATGCTTACTTAAGCTTGGCCACAAGGTCAGATAATGCATTCAGTTTGTGGTTTAACTGTGTTCTTGCTAGCTTCTACTAATTAGCAATTAGTAAAAACCCTCCTATCAGTAGGACGGATGCATGGACAACGAACCGACACTTTAAAATTTGTTTCCACTGTAGTTGGGAAAAGTTTATTCAAAATTTGGCAAATAATTGTCTTCTCTACTTGTACTCTGAGTCTTCTTTGTTTTTTTTTTAGCTAATCTAGAAGCATATTTCCAGGTTCGGGGGGGGATAAGTTACTGAATGTGTATTGTTTTGGAATGGAAGAGTAAACTGTCTTCCTGGTAGGGGTATCATTTTAATGTCCAGTGTACTTTTGTGGCAGTTGGTTAAACAAACTTGATCATTTGATTGTTCAGGTTGTGGTATTGACTCATGCTTATGAAAAACGTTCTGGGGTCAGGTATATGACTGGTGGCCTGAAGGTCTACTACCTACCATGGAAACCGTTCCTTATGCAGAACACACTGCCCACCTTTTATGGGACACTTCCAATAATAAGGACAATTTTGATTCGGGAAAAGATATCGTTAGTGCATGGACATCAAGCTTTCTCAACTCTGTGTCATGAAGCTTTGATGCACGCACGCACAATGGGGTACAAGGTTGTATTTACAGATCATTCGCTCTATGGTTTTGCTGATGCGGGTAGCATTCACATGAACAAAGTACTGCAATTTACTCTAGCAGATGTGAGTCAGGCCATTTGTGTTTCTCATACAAGTAAAGAAAACACAGTTCTAAGGTCAGGGTTGCCGCCAGAGAAGGTTTTTGTAATTCCAAATGCTGTCGACACAGCTATGTTCAAGCCTGCGCCAGAACGACTTAGCACTGATGAAATTGTTATAGTTGTGATAAGTAGATTGGTTTATCGAAAGGGTGCAGATTTGCTTGTTGAAGTAATCCCTGAAGTATGCCGTAAATATCCCAATGTGAGTTATTTAGGCCATTGTAGTGAGTACTTAAAATTTGATTAGTATTACTTATCCTTGAGCTTGTGGTGGTTTCTTTTCTTCCTTAAAAGGGGTCATTCTGAGTTATGTTTCAAGTCCATGTGCACTGGGGATAATTTTGTTAAAAAAAAAGTCCATGTGCACTGGGGATAATTGTTGTTTGCTTGTCTGTTAAAAGTGGAGAACCTACCGTATGGTGGACAAAACAGACCAAGGATTTATGCATGACCATCATTTACATTTCTTTCTTTCATGTTGTTTTGATTGCTTGGCTACCTCCCCTCAGCATTTGTTGAAACAGAGCTTGATCCCTTGAACATTTGAAAATAACACTAATTTCCCTTGTTAGAGTTGTTGGCTAGAGACGGATTTAACGGAAGTTTCAAAGTTACCTTATTACCCTTGCTCTTAAAAATCCATTTATGATAAAATTATTGTTTGAAAATAAAAGTAGTTATTATTTTTTTTGTTTCTTCTCCTATGTTTAATTTTTAAATTTTTTAGACCAGGACATGCTTGAGGCACTTGGGGGGACATGTGCGTTCATCGGTTAGATATACACAGACAATAAAAGTTTGTAAAAAAAAAAAACTTGAGATCCAATGATAAATAAAACAATAGAGATTTATATCTATTAATCTGTCATTCTTTAGAATTTAGGAATTAGTGTAATCTTGCATTTTTTTATTATTTTTTAATAAAATAGTTATATATATGACATATAATAAATACAGAAAACTATATATTTTTGTGCGTCCCCATGTATCCTGTCCTTTTTTTGAAAATTGACATGATGGCATGCTTGTATTGTGTCACATGTTTATGCCCACGCTGCTTAGGGGTCTGCTATTGATAAATGGGTTTGTTATTGACCAATAATATCAGCTATTTCCAGAGCAAGATCTTCTTTTGATCGTTATTGATTATACTAAGGAAGTTGTATGCTAACTGTAGAAATTTAATGTATAAAGAGAAATAAAGAATTGTATTATTGATTCATGTATTGATGTATATTACAATGATTCATGATTCCTATATATAGAAGAGGGTGAGTGTGTAGTAGGTAAGGAGTAGGTGAAGTGGAGGTGGTAGTGGTGTAGTGGGTTAGGTTTAGTGGAGTAGGTTTAAGTGGGTGAAGTAGGTGGAGAGTAGGTGGATTTTAACACTAACCATGTAATGGATTAGATAAAGCAAGGGTATTATTTGCTTCTCACTTAATATTTAACGCTGGTAAGGGTTAATGGACATTTTGAAAGTTATAATTTCCTGTTCAACAATATTGACTCATAATAATTCAGTGTGGATCAGGGCATGGGCATCTTTTTGGTGATGTGCCACCATTGCTGGGCCAAGGATTAAATCCATCTCACATTGTTAATTCCAGTGCAATATTAATTTTTCTTTTTCTTCGTCTTTGTCCTCCTCCTTTTTGATTCTTGTAAATTATCTGCAATGTTCAGGAATGTCGATACCAACTTGTAATATATTATACATATGAGCTTGTGTCTCTGTTTCTTTTTAATTCAACTAGCTAATCTAGAAGCATATTTCCAGGTTCGTTTTGTCGTTGGAGGAGATGGGCCTAAAAGGGTGAGGCTAGAAGAGATGAGAGAAAAGCACTCTCTTCAGGATCGAGTGGAAATGTTAGGCGCTGTTCCGCATGCCAAAGTACAGTCTGTTCTGATTTCAGGCCACATATTCTTAAACAGGTATGACTATATTTCTGCTATTCATATGATATATGTTTTTTTTTTTTTTTTCCTGTAGAAAAGAATTCCTGTAGCTTGACCTAATCATTTGAAAATTTACAATTTTTAACAGTTTTTGATCGATAAAGGGATGAATTTTTTAACTAAGGATCTGATAGTAAGAAGAGAGATGTATTTATTTACTAATTCAACTGAGCATATAGCTCTCAATAGAGCGAAATGGAAGACAAGATTTCATGGACCTATCTGATTGGAATACAAGGCTTAGGCTGGTTTAGTTATGTGCAGTTTGTGAGAACCTAACATTCTAGCCATTTAGGTTCCTAAGCAATTGTAGTGAAACAAATCAATTTCAGTCTAAAGATAAAAGAAAAGATTGAGCCGACCACACATTAATGTCTTATTTTCTAAATAATTCTAAGGTAGGAGGAGCTTCTGTTGTTTTTTTTTTTTGTTTTTTTTTATTTTTATTTTATTTATAAATATTTTTTTGTTTTTTAAACAAAATCTATTATTGTTTTTTAATGTTTTCTATGCAAGAAACCTCTAGATTCAGAACTAACAATCTAACTGTAAAGTTCAATACTTGTACTGAAAGGGAAAAGTGGGAGAAATGATGATTTAGGACTATCTGATTTCAATTGGTTTATTTTAGTGGTTGACTAGATTATTTAGTAAGATTTTGTTGATTAGGAAAATGCGAGAGGAGTGGAGGAAGAGTATTTTAGTGCCAATTTATAAGAATAAAGGAGATGTCAAGAATTGCAACAACTATAGAGGAATCAAGCTGATGTGTCATATAATGAAAGTGTGGGAGAGAGTGATAAAACGTTGATTGCGAGATATAACTGAGGTGCCAGAAAATCAATTTGGGTTTATGCCTAGTAGGTCAACAATGGAAGTGATCTATCTTTTCAGGAGAGTAATAGAAAAGTATAGAGAAAAGAAAAGAGACGTTCATATGATTTTTATCGATCTTGAGAAAGCATATGATAGGATGCCTCGAAATATAATTTGGTGGGTGCTAGAGAAGTAAGGGTTGACAAAATATTACATTAATGTGATTGGGGACATGTATGAAGGTGTGGTGACTATTATTAGATTACTTGCCGGAGAGACAAGTGAATCTCCAATTATTGTGGACTTACACCAAGGATCAACTTTAAGTTCTTATTTTTTTACTTTAGTTATGGATAAGTTGACAAGAAATATTCAGGATGATGTGTCATAGTGTATGCTTTTTGTAGATGATATCGTGTTAGTGGATGAGATTAGAGAAAGAGTTACCACTAAGTTGGAGAGTTGGAGAGTTGGAGAGAAGCACTTGAATTTAGAGTTTTTAGGATAAGCAGAAGTGGAGGAGTGCATTTGGGGTACTGTGTGATAAATGAGTACCCACTAGACTAAAAGGAAATTTCTATAGAATGATTATTAGAATAGTGGGGACGGAATGTTGGGCAACTAAGAAACAACATGTAGATAAGATAAGTGTTGCTGAGACGAGGGTGCTACGGTGGATGTGTGGCAAGACTAGAAAAGACAGAGTTAGGAATGCTTATATTCGTGAATGGGTAGGAGTAGTACCAATAGAAGATAAGTTGAGAGAGAATAGATTGAGATGGTTTGATCATATATAACAGAGACCAACAGAGATATTAGCGAAGAGATACGATATAGTGACGGTAGATGAAAGTGTTAGGGGAAGGGGCAGACTTAGATTGACGTGGGTTAGTGTAGTAAATAGAAATATGAATCTCCTGAACTTGACTAACCAAATGGCCATTGATAGAGTCGAGTGGAGAAGAAGAATCATGTAGCCGACCCCATTTGATGGGACTTAAGGCGTGGTTTGGCTTGGTTTGGTTATTTGGGAATGTACACATTGAATTTGCCCTTAATCTCATGCATATTCCAAAATTTTTTGATTGAGGAAGATTCCTAATGGAATGAGCCTCTTTGTTTAGGGGAAAGTTAAGTCCAATGACAATGTAATAAATAATCATGATTTTTAGTCTAGACATTGCAAAATATGTTGTGATGTCCATCTATGGTTGATTATCCTTGATGGCTGATAAAGGGACTTACGGATGACATGCTACTTTCTTTGTTTTCAATTTCTTCCCCTTTGATGCCAAGCAACTTTGTTTCCCCACTCAAGATCTTTTTTTTTTTTTTTTTCTCTCTTTCTTTCTCTCCCTTTCTTATTTTTTTTGGTGAGAAACCACCATTTAATAACTAGTCATGTTAAATCGTATCATGCCCCGATAACTAATTGGCACTTATGTTTGAAGACATAGTGACTAATAATTGGTCATGTTTAGATGGTATCAACTCTGCTTCATGGCTTTTTTACTAATATGATTGTACTTACTCATATATATATAATATATATGTTTACGACCATAAGTGTGGGCTATGTTACATGGACTCTTCAAAATAAATCAAATACCCGTGTCGGACACCCGACACTCGGACAAGAGTATGAGATATGTGTCGGATACTTTTCAACGGATACTTCTTATATAATTGTATATAACACTATTATTATATGTACATATTGTTATATAATTGCTATAAATGTCATTTTGACACTATAAGTTAAATATAATACCATTTTATCTCACACATTAGATTAAAAATATAAAAATATGACATTTTTTTGCCGAGTCCGCGTATCCTTAAATTTATGATTTGATGAGTCCGACCTCTAGATACATACCCGCACCCGACACCCGTACCCGAGTCCATGTAACATAGAGTGTGGGAGATAGTTACACAAGTTATGCAAGCTTAAGAGCAAACATCGCAGATATCCATCTTTACAACAGACGTACAAAAATGATTTTCAGTCTCATAACTTGAGATTAGTTTTTATTTTTTATTTTTGTAATGCCCCAAAAATATTTGCAATAAACCAACTCCAATCACTAATACAGTGATATAAATATAATAAGAAACTTTTATTAATTAGAGTTAATATACAAAAGGTGACACATGCGATATACATTCATAAATCGTTTATTCTGAATTTACAACAGGTGTTACGAATAGTGAAAAATAATGAAAGCTAAACAAATATTCATCTGTCCTAAAGGTTTACATCTCTCCAAGTCATTGCTTGGTTACAACAAAATGAGTCTAACTCAATACAATTAAGCCCTTGGCTATACAAGGTAAATACAATAAAAAGAAGCTCTTGCTCCAAATCTCCTCAAACTGATGCCTTGGCGGAGGTATATCTCCAACACCTGAAAATGATTTTTCCCAAATAGGGTGAGCCAAAGCCCAGTAGAAACAATCTAATACAATTTATGAATCTTAACAAAGATATAAGTATAATGTGCATATGCAATGCCTGTAATAAAATTATTTGTATTCTACAAAATCATAATATGCCAAATTCTATATCTTAATCCATTTCATCTCAATTCATTTCAAGTCGATAGCTCAAAACAGATATGTCTAAATAGATATACAATCTCCAAGACAGATAAATTATTCAAATTTCCATAGGTGAGAAATATTATACATCCAACTCCACTATTTATATACACATTCATCTAATTTCATATTCCCAATACTAATTTCATTATTTATACAAAATAATTATTTGAAACGTTTTCGGGTAAAACTCCATTCTCTACCAAATCCAACCCATGTGTCAAAATCAACAATTTTAACACAATACATCCTTATCTCTATACCCATAATCATTTTCAATACCTTCATTTGATTTTAAACCAAAATGCTAGGTTTGTCTAAAATCTTCCAAATCCCAACATTATTTACACAATCAATAAATAACTAAGTTAAAAATCATAAGAAATTGTAAAAAATCCCTACCTCAAGCTTAGAAGACCAAAGTAACAATGGAGGAACTTCAAAGACGTTGAAACCAAATCTTGTTTGGACCAAAATGAATCTCTTGAAACGCTCTACCTTTTTAACAAAGGCACACGGGTAGAGAATCCAACGGATCTAGGTGAAAATGTAGAGAGAATGTATGTTTTAGAGAGAGAGGCTCTAGATCTAGGGTTTTTGAAAAGTAGAGAGAGAGAGAGATCTGAAAAAGTGATGTAAAATATCACTTTTATGGACTGAAATACGTACAGTACGCTCGAGCGTAAGAAATGACGCTCGAGCGTCAGACACAATAAGTTGTTTCGTTCGAGCGCAAGAAGTGACGCTCGAACGCAGAATGCACACTCCAAGTAGTTTTGCAGGCAACAGACCAATGCTCGAACGCAAGAAAGGCCGCTCGAGGAAAGGCCGCTTGAGCGCAGAAAGAACCGCTCAAGTGTAGAATACACTCTCCCAGTTGTTTTACAGACTTGCAAAAGTACTGAGAGTTTGCAAAGCCCGCTCGAGCGCAAGAAGTACCGCTCGAGCAGAGGAGCAAAAATCTAGGCAATAGCAGTTTGGAAACTAAGCAACCAATCTGTTCCAAACACAACCACAACAACCCAATAGTCACATTTAAAGAATTACAAGGAAAGCAAGATATGACCAAAAATACAACACCATGAAACCCGAGTCCAGAAATAAGGGTTGGATCAAAACTGGAATCGCTATAATTTTTATTTGTGTTTGTGTGTGTGTGTGTGTGTGTGTTTCTCTGAATATTTTCACCTGATTTTCATATATCTACTTTTGCAGTTCTTTAACAGAAGCATTTTGCATAGCAATATTGGAAGCTGCAAGTTGTGGATTATTAACAGTCAGTACACGTGTGGGAGGTGTCCCAGAGGCATGGATTATGAGATGTTTTCTCTATACGTGGTTAATTAGATAATGACTGCCTTTTGTGTTCTTAAGCGAGTGAAGATGAGTTAGTTTGCTGGAATGATAAATTTCTGAAAATCTTGGATAACATTTTGGCTTTTCTTATTTCTTTTTGTTCTGCCTCATCAGGTTCTACCAGACGATATGGTTGTACTAGCGAAACCTGATCCCATTGATATGGTACAAGCAATCCAGAAGGCAATAGCCATGCTTCCCAAAATAGATCCACAAGATATGCATCTTCGTGTGAGTGAATTTTCTAAATATATGTGGTTTGTTTGAAGATGTGTTGCTTGCTTGGTTTTGTTTATGTTTGTCTCTTCCATTTACTGCCAGATGAAAAAATTGTACAGTTGGCATGATGTTGCTAAAAGGACAGAGATTGTCTATGACCGTGCTTTGAGATGCTCGAATCAGAGTCTTTTAGAACGACTTTCACGGTATGAGAAAACAGTTCATATTTGACTATTTCTTTCTTGCCAAACCATCTCTTATAGCGAGTAGATTCCTTAATTCTCCAAACATAAAAATCTGCATTCTGTTGACATCTGATCCTCAGTAAGTTGCTATGTTAAAATGTTCTGTGACCTTCACTATTGTTAGGTAAAGCGATACACTTACATCTGAAACTACATTTATTGGTTAACTTAATTGGATAGTATTTGGTCATTGGTTCCAACAGTTCACTTTTGTTTTTATAAAAGCAAACATAGTTTAGGCTAACATGGGTGGTCAATCAGGGGCAGGTTTCAAAATATACTTTTTCAAACTTCATTTTAGATGGAAGTCTTAATTTGATGATAGTGGTCTCAACATTTTAGTTAGAGAAAGCTAGAAAACCCCATGAGGGCAATTTCAATGTTTTTTTTTTTTTTTTTTGATGATATGATCTGTAATTAGGTACCTCACATGCGGTGCTTGGGCAGGCAAGCTTTTCTGCTTGGTTATGATCATTGATTTTTTGTTTTGGCATCTGTTGCAACTATTCAAGGTATATATTTCTCATATGGACTTTTGTTTCACAACTTTGCCCCTGTAATCTTCAACTGGTCTTGTGCATGATATTTTTCTCATCTGCTAATTTTGTGCTTGCAATTTTCATTAGCCTGCTGCTGATATCGAGGTGGTACCTGATTTCATTCTACCACATTGTCAACATGGAGAGAAGTTGAGAGATTTCAATGAGTAAAAGCTTGAAATTGAGATCATTTACAGGGTTCAAATGTTATATTCCAGGCAGGGTGTTTTGACTTTATCTTCTAATCCTATCGTGCTTGCCATTTTCAATATCCTGTTCTTTGGTTGAGGTGGCAAAGGGGTATGGTGGGTTTAGGTAGTATGTTGTAGGTGCAAAAATTGACTAGCCAAAAAAAAAAAATGTCTTGTTTGTATCTGATTTTATGTGTGTATATATAGATGTATAATTTTGTTCTCATATGTATATACTCTTCCCTCCCCCTTTTTTTTCTCTATATCGTGGACCATTATATTTATTTTTAAAAAAGTAGATAAGTTTAATTTTGAAAAAAGATTATCCATTTTTTGAAACAAATATAATGAAGCTTAAAAAAATGGGGATGCCTCATTGACTGTGTTTAACATTTGATACTGCTTGTAAAAATGAGTTTATCAAAAGTACATGTGATGTCCATGCTTTGTTCTGGTATGTAATGTTGTTGTTGCTGTTGTTGTTGTTTTTTATTTATTTATTTATTATTATTATTTTTATTTATGTATATGCTAACAAGTGCCCCTTATGCGATGTTTAATGTTGGAAAGTGTGTAAAAAATGTCTTGAAAATATGTGAAAATATTAAAAAATATATTGATTTTAGGAAAAGTGTATTAAATTTATTGAAAAGTGTCTTATGTTTTTCATTTTTTTTGTTATTTATTTATGCACTAGGGACACTTGTTACCAAGATTTTTTTTATTATATTAATAAATTTTCTTACAATGATAAAAAAAAAAAAACATTTAGTTAATGGTAACATTAATTTTATTGTTATTTATTTATTTATTTATTGTTGTGTTAGTAGAGATTAATATTATTGCCTTTTAAAATTATTCTGAATCCATTTCCACGTAGACATGCCTTGAATCATTAAAGTATAGGGTGAATTATAATTATACTCTTGAGATTTGATTAAAATATGAATTGTCTATTGTGGTTTTAAAAATTACATTCCGCCATCTGAAGTTTTTAATTTCATAACAAGTTGCCTCTTTTATTAATAAATTATCAAGCCAATTAGCAGATTTTAATGATGTTAGAAATATGTTTCAATTAATAATTTAAGTAATTTTATTATTGTATACGAGAGTAATTATGAATTTTATTTTTTTAATTAATTTTCTTAAATAAAATATTCTTATAAGGGGATATTTGTAATTTTTCAAATCTAAAAAGTAATTTATATTTTAAATAAATTTCAAAAAATATATTTATAATTTATCCTTAAATTTTTAGTCAGTGGCATTGAAGTTAAATGAAAAGTAAAAGTCCAAAATGTTTTCTAATTATCCAAAAAAAAAAAAAGTCCAAAATGATTTCTAGTGATGGAACATTTGGAAAATTCAGAGGCATACATATATAGAGAGGGTGACATGCATGGTGAAGCTAGCTAGGGACAAACAATGGTGGGTTCACATTTTCAGCAGCCCACAAGGTCATTGAGAAACATACCACACCATTCATTCATTGATATCATTCTCATTCAATTGCTTGCATTGGTTGGAGAAGATTACCATGGCTTTCAAAGAGGTCCATATCTAGATTTCTTTGTTAGCAAACATGACTTCTATTATTAGGTGATTTGTTTTGGGTTTGTGTCATTGAACTGGCTTCATTAGAAGCAATATATAATGTAAAGTGTTGGATCATTTTAATATCTTTTATTTATTTATTTATATATTTTGTTCATGAATCTTCTTTTACCTTGTTCATAAATCTTATCTTGTTCATGAATAGAGATTTATTATTTTGGTGACTTTTTGTCTTATTCATGAATGGAGATTAATTAGAATTCATGAACTTGGTGGTGAGTTAATATTTGGATTCACTCTCCATCTTCTCTAGATTCATAGTCATTATTATTTTTGGTATATTTTGTAAAATCCTAGTGACCTATAAATAGTTCCTCTCATCTACTCTTTTCTACACTAACACACCAACTATTTTCTATACAAGAGAGATTACTAGCAAAGAATGGTGTTTTTCTTGGTGGAGTTTTGGGTTCACCATCTTGTGCAGAGTTGGCTTGAACCATACGATAAACGGTCGGGCTGTTGTATCCTAGAGGGGACAAGTCATAGTTTTGTGATTGCTGCATCGGTATTTCGGTTCTTCCTACCGCAGCGGGCTTGATCTCCTTAAAGAAAACGAGATATCCGTGCCTCAGCCTAATCTATTTGTATCTCATTTTTTTTATTATTTATCAATAAAATATAATTTTTTTTTGGTATTTTCACCAATAATTTTAAGGAGATCATCCATGGAACAAGTACTAGAAAAAATCAATAATGGGGTTGGAGATCTCAACAAGGCTTTCAAGTTCAAGGGAGTTCATTTTAAGAGGTGGAAAGGAAAAGTTTTTTTTTACCTTAGCCTTTTGAAAGTTGCATATGTTCTTACCGAGAAGAACCCAAACAAAATCCCAACCGAGGAGATGAATGATGAAGACTGCGAAGCACATGAAGCAAAAGTGGCTTCCTATAATATAGATGAATATAAATGTCATTTTTATCTCTTAAATCTCCTTGCTAATTAATTTTATGATTATTACTATGACACTACTTACACTTTGTATTCTATTAATTTTTTGACATGTTCGTTGGTGTCATATTAACAGTAAATATGTGGGAATCATGAGTAGTTTAGGATTAATTCTTAAAGCGACACAAAAATTTTGAGAAATGTGAAATTTGCAGTAAAGCGAAAATTACCAAAAGGCCTCATAAAAGTGTTGAAAGAAAAATACTGAATTGTTAGAATTATTTCATACTGATTTATGTGAGTTTGAAGGAATTTTAACTCGGGGTGGTAACCGATATTTTATCACTTTTATTGATGATTTTTCAAAATACACAAACGTATATTTATTAAAAAATAAAAGTGATGCTTTTGAGAAATTTAAAGAATTCCTTCTTGAAGTGGAAAATCAATTCGGTAAAAAGATTAAGAGAATTAGAAGTGATAGAGGCCAAGAGTATGAATCTCTTGGATTCAACTCTTTTGTTCATTCATTGAGAATTATTCATGAGACTACTCCACCATATTCACTTTCATCTAATGGCGTAGCTGAAAGAAAAAATAGAACGTTAATTGACTTGACAAATGCTATGCTTATTGATTCAGGTGCTCCCTCAAATCTTTGGGGCAAGGCTATTTTGACAGTTTGCCATGTGATAAATAGAGTGTCACACAAAAAGACTAAAATTGTACCTTATGAGTTGTGGCGGGGGCATAAACCAAATCTAGATTATTTGAGGGTTTGGGCTTGTTTAGTTTTTGTGAGGCTTGCAGATCCTAAACGACCTAAATTGGGTGAACGAGCTACCACCTGTGCTTTTCTTGGGTATGTGTTGTATAGTACAGCTTATAGATTTTTTGACACGGAAAATAATATTATTTTTGAATTAGGTGATGCTATTTTTCATAAAAATAAATTTCTTTTCAAATCTAGAAATAGTGGGGGTCAAATAATTTCTAAAAATATTTTATCTGTGCTTAGCTTTTCTACTTCGTCTCAAGTTTTTCAAAAATAAGAAAATTCTCAAATCCAACAAAGGAGAAGTAAACGAGCTAGAGTTGAAAAAGATTTTGGCCCTGACTATTATCTTTACAATGTGGAAGAAATTCCTCTTACGGTGCAAGAACCTTTATCATCACCTGATGCTATTTTCTGGAGAGAAGCTGTAAATGATGAGATAAATTCACTACTTTCAAATAAAACATGAAAGCTAGTGGATTTACCTCCGGGTTGTAAAACTATTGGGTGTAAATGGGTCCTTTGTAAAAAAATATAAACCAGATGGAACTATAGATAAATATAAAGCGAGACTTGTCACTAAAGGTTTTAAGCAACAAGTTGATCTTGATTTCTTTAATACTTTTTCTCCAGTTATTAGAGTTACATCCATTAGACTGTTGATAGCAGTGGCTGCAATTCATGATTTAAAAATTCATCAAATGGATGTGAAAACAACATTTTTAAATGGAGATCTAGATGAAGAGATTTACATGGACCAACCCGAAGGCTTTGTGGAGCCTAGCCAAGAAAGCAGGGTGTGTAAGTTAACTAAATCCCTTTATGGTTTAAAACAAGCTCCTAAACAGTGGCATGAGAAATTTGATTCCTGCATACTTGAGAATGGCTGTAAGACTAATGAATGTGATAAGTGCATATATTATAAAACTTGTGAGAATGCACATGTGATTATTAGCATATATGTAGATAATCTACTTATCTTTGGCTCTAATTTGCATATTATAAATGAGACTAAAAATATGGTCAATAGCTACTTTGATATGAAAGATCTTGGCTGTACGAGCACGAAATAATTTTTCTCGTATGATCCTGTTGATCAAGTTTGCACTCCTCCGAACAACGTTACTTTGTCACCTAAAAACACAAACGTGAGCTAACTGGCGAGAGTGTGCTAGAAACCCCTCCAATGCCGAAGTCAGCAACTAGACAAAAGATAATAAGCTCTGTGTATTCTAGAATAAGAATTGGGATACCTGTCCATAGGTTTGGTCATGAACTTTTATAAACTTTACTTTAGCACATTCCTAGTAGGATTCCAACTCTCCCTATGAGAGTTCTCGTAGGAATCACACACCCTAATCACTACCAACCAAGTGAGATGGTTTTGCACAATCCTAGTAGGACTCTACTCTCCTTAGCAAAGTCCTCCTAGGAGTCATACTCCTATTCACTACTAACCAAGTGAGATGGTTTGCAGAATCCCAGTAGGACTCTAACTCTCTTTAGCAGAGTCTTACTAGGAGTCTCATCATTGCAAGCCAAGTGAAATGGCTGAAACCTTTACCTTGGTTATACATTTCTGACCGAACTGCCTTATCTTGGTCCCCTGCCATTTGGACCGTGTGATCGAAAGCCGATCTATCTAATGCCACCCCGCCGAGCTATACATAGCTCGCCCCTCACCATTGATGTTACCTCGGTTTGCTATAGAACTTTCTTTACTTCGACTGTCATCTTTACCTCGGCTCTGTGCTCAACTAAGTAATGGAATAGAAGCATCGACCGAGCTATACCTAGCTCTGCCATTTGTCTTACCAAACACCTTGGCCAACCCTTGGGCCTAGTATTTAAGTAGCTCGGTCAACGCCCTTGCCCAGTTTGGTACTCAGATAAAAAGGGACCGAGCTATCCGTCGTCCATACTCCGACCCTTATCTCGGTCCATTACATGGCCCAACTCCCAAAAAAGACTCTTCCTAGCTCGGCCCAATTTGTTTA